AAGTCCAAAGTCCTCCCCGCTCCATCCTGGTCTAGGAAGGTGGACATCCAAACTGGCTAGGCTCCCACAAAGCCAGAACATGAAGTAGGATCAAAACCCAGTGCCATTGTCCTTGGCTTCTCAGCAGCCCTCATTGTCCACCATGTTCAGAGAGTCCTGTTTTATCCCATGCTTTTTCAGTCGCAGTCCAGCTGGCCTTGGTGAGCTCACAATAGATCAGCCCCACTGTCTCCGTGGGTGGGTGCACCCCTCGTGGTCCTGACTTCTTTGCTCATATTTTCCCTCCTTCTGCTCCTCCTTGGGACATTGGGAGCTCAGTCCGGTGCTCCAGTGTGGGTCTCTGTCTCTATCTCCATCCATCTCCAGATGAAGGTTCTATGGTGATATGCAAGATATTCATCAGTATGGCTATAGGATAGGGTCATTTCAGGTTCTCTGTCCTCAGCTGCCCCAGGAACTAACTGGGGACATCGCCCTGGGCACCTGGGAGCACCAAATCTCTTGCCAACCCTAAGATGGCTCCCTTAATTAAGATGTGTGCTTCCCTGCTCCCCTATCCAACCTTCCTTTATCCCAAATATCCCATTTCCCAAGTTCCCCCCAACCTCCCCTTCTCACTTTTCTCTCCCCATCTCCCCTTACCTCCCTCCCACCCCACCCCCAAGATCCCATTATTTGCCCGGCAATCTTGTCTACATCCCATAATCAGGAAGATAGCTATATGTTTTTCTTTGGGATCACCTTCTTATTTAGCTTCTTTAGGAGATCAAATTATAGACTCACTGACCTTTATTTATCTCTAGAAACCAATTATGAGTGAGTACATCCCATGTTCATCTTTTTGGGTCTGGGTTACCTCACTCAGGATAGTGTTTTCTATTTCCATCCATTTGCATGCAAAATTCGAGAAGTCATTGTTTTTTACCGCTGAGTAGTATTCTAATGTGTATATATTCCACACTTTCTTCATCCATTCTTCCATTGAAGGACATCTAGGTTGTTTCCAGGTTCTGGCTATTACAAATAATGCTGCTATGAACATAGTTGAACAAATGCCCCTGTCATATGATCGGGCATCTCTTGGGTATATTCCCAAGAGTGGCATTGCTGGGTCCAGGGGTAGGTTGATCCCGAATTTCCTGAGAAACCGCCACACTGCTTTCCAAAGTGGTTGCACAAGTTTGCATTCCCACCAGCAATGGATGAGGGTACCCCTTTCTCCACAACCTCTCCAGCAAAGGATATCATTGGTGTTTTTGATTTTAGCCATTCTGACCGGTGTAAGATGATATCTCAAAGTTGTTTTGATTTGTATTTCCCTGATCGCTAAGGAGGTTGAGCATAACCTTAAGTGTCTTTTAGCCATTTGAATTTCTTCTGTTGAGAATTCTCTGTTCAGGTCAGTGCCCCATTTTTTAATTGGGTTAATTAGCATTTTAACGTCTAGCTTCTTGAGTTCTCTATATATTTTGGAGATCAGACCTTTGTCTGTTGCGGGGGTGGTGAAGATCTTCTCCCAGTCAGTGGGTTGCCTTTTTGTCTTAGTGACAGTGTCCTTTGCTTTGCAGAAGCTTCTCAGTTTCAGTAGGTCCCATTTATTCACTGTTGCCCTTAATGTCTGTGCTGCTGGGGTTATACATAGGAAGCGATCGCCTGTGCCCATCTGTTGTAGGGTACTTCCCACTTTCTCTTCTATCAGGTTCAGTGTGTTCAGACTGATATTGAGGTCTTTGATCCATTTGGACTTGAGTTTTGTGCATGGTGATAGATATGGGTCTATTTTCATTCTTCTACAGGTTGACATCCAGTTGATGCACCCGCCTTTTTAAACACAAGTGGGAATATGTGGTGCATATTGTTGACCTGAGAAAGGCTTCTTAATTTTGTTCAATTAACGTGTTGTATCTGCTTATTGGTAATTCTTCACTTCTATCCTTCAACACAAACCAACCACTATTCTTTTTTAAGTTTATTTATTCTTTAAAATCTTCATACATCTTATATAATATATTTTGATCATGCATATCCACCATTGCCTCTTGCCAACTTTTCCTAGTGCCCGGACTCTATCTTATAACTTCAAGTCCTTTTCTTTTCTTTTCTTACCTTTACTTTTCTTTTCTTTTCTTTTTTGTTATTAATGATCCCAAGTCCAGTTAGTGGTTCCCAAGTGTGCCTGAGTGGAGCCATCCACTGGGTCATTGACTGCCTTTTAGCAGTGATGTCCCCCTCTCTCAGCAACCATTAGCTACCAATGGCTGCTTCCACAAGAAGCCTCTTTGGCGCTTCCTCACGTTCAAATAAGAATTTTGACTGATTTCATATTGGACAGTTCTTGTGGAAGGAACCACAGCTGCTGTCTAGAAGTCAATATTTCACAGCTTTCTTCCTTATCCACCAGCTCTTACCTTCTTTCCATCCATTCTTCAGTGATGCTCCTTTGACCTTGGAAAGGGGAGGTTGATATAGATTATTCATCCACAGAGAAGCTCTTTCAGTTACTTATGCTTCATTATTTAACAAATTTTAAGTTTCTTCATTAACTGTTATCCACTGAGGAGGGGGGAATCTTCCCCAATCAGAGTTGAGTACAGCAAATCTATGGGTATAAGGAGGCAATTTAACAGCACAACTATTTAACATAATAACAGTGACAGTTTCCCCACTAGGGCCTGCGATTTTCCAAGACTTGAGATTTTTGACCAAATTTATAGTACCAGGCATGAAATCTCTTCTGTGGACCAGATATCATACCAAATCAGGAAGTGGCTGTTTGTTCCTATAATATCCACACCACTACTGCAACCTGAACACACCTTGGCAGGGAAGAACTGGGACAGAGCATTGGTGTCTTCCAGCCCCACCCCCAGCAGCCTACATAGAACTTTTTGGCACTATAAAAGCTAGCTAGTGAGGGAATAATTCCCTGGTAAGTTAAGACAACCACTATTTCTTTGATATTAAAGTTTAACTCTGTTCCTCATTTCTAAAAGAAGTTATGGACATTTTTTCCTGTGTCTATGACTTATTTTACATAGTGAAATACACATCTTCAAAGTATATCCATGTTGATAAATACAACAACATTTCTTTCTTGTTTGAAGTTGAATTGTACATAGTGTATTATAGACATTTTATTTGTCCATTCATCTGCTATAGTGCTGAGGTCTTTCCACATATTGGTCACTATAAATAGTGATACACACAGTATTCAAATCAATATCACAATTCCTCAAAAACAGAGTCACCATTGCTTCACCAATCCAATTTCTGGGAAAAGAATTAAATCTGGAACCTTCCTGATTAAATATTTTGTTAGTTTCTTCTCCATTGCTAACTTAAATCACTCCAATTCTTAAAATGCACTTTCTGTCACCTAAACGGCAGAAGAGTCTCTCCTAATTTCTACAAATTTCCCTGGTTTCTGAGAAGATCTTAGCAACTTTATCTGAATGTGTTCTGAGATCTTTCAATGAGAGAGACGTTGAGAATTTTTTGAACTCTTCACATATCTGTTACCCCTTACCTCATCTTCATGTCTTTGACTGGTCCTTTCAAAGTGAGCTCCTTGCTAGGACAATGAGTGTCAGGGCAGTTCTGTCTGTCTCTCTGCCTGTCCCCATTCTCTTTCCATTAGCATAGGATGCAGCTTCAGTCCACATAGTTTTCCACCTTCTGCAGGTCCTCTTACCAGGCTGTCTGAGGCTCTCCTTACCATCTGGTCAGAATTCCTTTCCTTTCCCGCATTTCCTGTACTCCTTCACTTTAAACCTGGGTTCAAATATGTAAAAAAAAAAAAAAAAGGCATTAGTTTATTTAGGAGAACTTACTCATTTCTTCCTATCTGTATAATTTTTAGTTTTCTAGTTTGTGTCTTTTTTGAGATGTTTGTAACTATTATTCCTCTCTTCTTCCAGGTTCTTTTCTTTTTTCTCTTTCCTCGCTTGGATGTTTTTTCATCTACTTTTTTATATTAAGAATGTGTATCTGACTTCCCTGAACTGTTTTCCTGAATATGTCATCATCTCTGTATAGTGTTCAAGTTAGAATGGAGGCAAGGGCTTCTGGCCAATTTCTTTTTCAGAGCTGGGGTTAGTAAATTGTTTCTCTGCCTCCAGGATTCTTGCTCTTGGATTTTTTTCATGTGGCACTCGCTCATTCATCTTCAAAGAGCATTTAACAATATCTGCCGTCGACACACTATTGTCAGGATCCTCTGATCTTCACAGATCATGCCAGGAGAGCCATTCTCTTAACTTCACACAGTAATCTGCATTAATTCTAAGTGAGGTGTGTGGAGGGAATCTGTGTTGAAAGGACCTCCCTCGGGAGTATTTCCAAACAGAACCATGTGAGACCAGGAATGAGGATAAACTGTTGGCCATTTTTCTGAAATCAAATCTTATCCATCCTCCCTTTGTTAGTTATATGCACCAAATGAGTGAGAATCCAAAGACACATGTCTATGTAACAGCCCTCCACATTTCTGTGTCACTGGAGATGGGCTGGTAAAATGTCCACAGCTCGTTTTCTTGCTTGACTGCTCTTTCATTCAAATCAGGGTTTAAGACCTGTGGTATCAAAAATTGGAGGCATGAGAATGACAGAAATAAGCAATTTTAGTGTTGTGTTACTGTTGGAGAACCCACAGTTTTACATACGGCACCTTCTTTGTACCTGGGGGTATTATTATTATTATTATTATTTTGCATTAGCTGTTTCTCGGGGCTTACAAACTGGTTCAAGTCTTATTTCACTTCCTGGGTATGCGATAAAGTAAAGCCCGGATTGGCATATGCGTACACAGTATCAAGGATAAGTCTTGAAATACTCCCAATGTAAAGAGGAATTCCCAGCAGACTGTTAGCACTAATGATGAACCCTAACTCCCGGTCCTAGTGCTTTGGGTGAGACTAGGTGAAAGTCAAATGTTAAGCAGCAGCGAGTGCATTTTATCTTGTCTTAATCTGCCCTGCTCTGCTCAATCCAGGGCTGCATATGATTGCTCTATGGCGAAGAAGAGGAGAGCTGAAAAGCAGGCACTGGGGGTGCCAGTTAACAAGCGGAAATCCCTGTTAATGAAACCACGGCACTACAGCCCAGACGTGGACTGCAAGGGAAACCCGGACAACAGGAATGAGGATGATGGCCTCTTAGAGACGAATGATCACTCCACTGCAGGTAGCAAAAAGGCATGGCCCAAACTTTATATATTCCTGTCACCTGATGTCATTCTTATTCTGTGGAATATACAGTTACTAGGGCTGTTAAGTATATTTGGCTTTAGGAACCAAAAGCCAAACACTTGTTTCACTCAATATTCACTTATTAAGGCCCTACATATTTTAATCAGATTCTATTTAAGATCTGATTATCACAGCTTGATGATGGCCTGCGCTCACTTCAAGTCATGTTTAGGTTATGCCTCTTTGTGTAGAAAGTAGAAGATACTAAGCCTTAAAGCTAAAGAGTATGTCTGAGTAGGTATTAATTTCTAAGAGAACCCTTTAAATTGCAGGACATATTTAAGCTTTAAGACAACTTTTCAATGACGAAGGTAAATGTAATGTTCATTGCTGATATATATATATACATATTTATTGCCTATGTATATTGCTAAAACATTAACACATAATTTGTTTTATTACTATGTAAAATATTATTTAGCCCCAAAATATAATAGTAATAATAGGACTCAATGTAGGTGTTTTGTGACATCCATATTTTTATAATCTTCAAATAATACTTAGAACAATAGATTGCAGCAGTGACCTAAGGTGGTTATCCTTGAGGCTTCTTCAGTGGGAGAGCAATATAGAGAAGATATCTCTGTGCCTGTGTTCTAAAATAAGTTATTTAAGCTTATCTTTATAATGCGTTGGTTCAATCCTTGGCTCACTCTTCAGACATCTTTTTCAGGATGAATGAAACGTAGCTACTACTCTAAGGACTTAGAGTTTGTGTCTTCCTAGATCTCGGTTGTTGGCAATCACTTGCATCCACGAGTTGAAGTGTCGTTGATTGGTTTGTGAGTGAGACTAAGGTGTCAGACATGCAAAAAAATCCTCAAAACCTATGAAAAGTTTAAGTTATAAGGCTTGACTAATAAAAACTGGAATGAGACAAGCACATTAACATATTAAATATGTACCCTTAAATATATTAAATATATTCCTATTAAATATATACCTTTTACTAAATGTGACATTTAGGGAATCAGCATAATAATAAGTTAATTATTTACTTGAAAACTTAAACAAATAGAAGTAAAATTCTAGAAATAGTCCTAGACATTATTTTTCAAAATATAAAAACATATTGACTGAGGATGTTTCCCGTCAGAAAATCTTCATTATTTTGGCTAAGTATTGAAGATTCCATGGCTAAAACAGTGTTGTCTTCTGATTGGTGGATGTTTAATGACGATTTTAGACTTCTCTCATATAGTATACGATTTTTAGCATCAAGGCTCATATTTAAATTGTAATCATCTTTAACTTTTTCAATTTCCTTGATCTGGTCACTTTTATGTATTGATTCATGGACATAACAGATGAAATCTGATCTTAGGTGCTCTTGGACCACTGTGGAGCTGAGATCTTTGCTTGCAGCTTGTCCTAGAGCCAAAGACTTTATCAGGTCTGCGGGCCTCCCACCTTCTGCTCTAACAATTTGATCATCATAAATGTTGATTATCAGTTAAGAGAATATTGTTCACATACATCCAGTAAAATATTTAGTCATAAGCACTTATAGGCATCTATTTGCAGGCTTACAAAGGCTGATTGTTGCATTTAATATTAGAACTACTAGTGATAGTGATGCTGAAATTACCATGGTGACAATTAATTTTCATCTCTTTATGTTGAAATAAGAGCGGCGGGGCTGTGTCCCCAACACCCCGGCCGCTTGGCTAGCTTATGCCCGAAATAACAACACACAAACTGTATTCATTTAAGAACTGCTTGGCCCATGAACTCTAGCCCTTACAGGCTAATTCTCGCACCTAGACTAGCCCATTTCTAATGATGTGTGTAAGCACCCCAAGGTGCGCTTACCGGGAAGATTCTAGCCTCCGTCCATCGTGGATCTGAGCTTCATGCGTCTGCCTCAGAGCGCAGAGCTATCGTGTCCATCCGACAGAGCTGAGCATGGCGCCTCTCCGGGAGCAGAGCAGAGTCTGAACTCACTTCCTCTTCCGCCCAGCATCCTATTCTGTTTATTCCACCCACCTATGTGCTAAGCTATGAGGCCAAGCAGTTGGTTTATTATAATTAACCAGTTACCTTCCTCCATCATCTTTATATGTTGCACACATATAAACGACATCATTTAGTTCATTTTACAGTGTCACATAGTATGTAGAACCTTGATCTTGGTTTTACAGGTGAAATAATTAAACACCAAAAAGAGTTGATTCTGAAAGTAGCACAGATTGCAGACTGGGGAGAAAGTACCTAGTAGACTATCTAAAGAGCAAGCAAAATAGCTCTATCCCAGTTTCTCTGCAGGCTCGGTCCCCCTTGCCCATACTCCCCTCAGAATGCATACTGGGCAGAATTTTCACAATGTCTACATGAAGCTACAATCTCTAAAAAATAACAGGCCATAAATGTCCCTCTCCAAGGTCAAGAGAGAAAAGATTTTAATTTGCCTTCAGTTTTTGAGAAATCTTAAGGCCAGCCACGGAAGGAAAGGGTACCGAGCCTAGTGCGCAGTGCAACAGAAGAGCAACTAACTTCAGTGCTCCTCATTGTCTTTGCCTTAGCAGGAGCCTGTCTAGTTGTATTTTCAGCTGGACCACTCAGATAATGAGAGTATAAAGGACCCAGGAAGGCTAAGGTCATGCTCTTGAATTCTGTGTTTCATTCCTCTGTTTGACTCAGACTGTACCCCACGCTCTAACCTGACTCAAAAAACTATATGTGGCCACTATTGTGAATAGTTAGAAATTCCTTCCTGCCTGGGGAGGTGAACACCAGGAAGCAAGACAAACTTAGACTCCTGGAACAGACAGAAAATGATTCATCATGGTTCAAAGTATACCCATTATGGAGTTCCCAGCAGCATGACCATGTGCTTCGGACCTGAGAATGCCTGCCTAAGACACAGAAGCTTCTAGGGGTTGAAATTACATTTGTACATGTGCTTCGGACCTGAGAATGCCTGCCTAAGACACAGAAGCTTCTAGGGGTTGAAATTACACTTATAATATGTCATCTTCAATAAAAAGGTAAAAAACAAACCACTCCAGTCTCAGAATTTTAGAAGATAAATTTATTTTTCTATGGCTTTTATTCCTGCCCAAATTTCATATTCAAAAGCTCTAATAAATGAATTTACCTGTAAAAGTGTCCTTCCTGGATATAGAAGCAAAACTGAATCCAGTGTCTATAAAACCCAGTCACACTAAGAAGTTCATTCCAAACTCAGTGGCATTTTCAGAGGAGTTCAGAGAAAAGATAGATGATAGGTAGATAAGTAGATAGATAGATAGATAGATAGATAGATAGATAGATAGATAGATAGATGTGAAATTTTATAAACTAAGTATAGGATTACCAACAACTTATCATGGGAACCATGGTCTACAGTCAGGAACTAAATTGAACTTTTATATACCAGACAAAACTGTATTTTTTTAATTACACAAAGGAAAGTTTCCCAGCCCAAACTACTGCCAACCATACATGCTTAGACGTTTGCACAGGACAGAGAAAGGCTTAGGTCATTTCTGAAACTGCCAGCCTGTTACCTGCTGGAAGTTGACCTTAGTGTTCCCAATTTGCCATCTTTGTAGTATTAGCAAAGTTAAGGTCTGTGTTGCATGAGAGTTTTGTTTATATTTGCATTTTTGACCAATAACTTAAGGATCATTGTTCTTTTATAACCCAAATTAACTTGAAGTACATTCAAGTGTCTTCCTATAAATTTATTATGAAAAGGATTTCAATTTAGAAAAGCATTTGGCTATTTACATTCTTAGTACCAACTCCTGAAAATGGCTGTGTTACATGAGACATCTTCTCTAGTAAGGCTTTCTAGCCTGTGGGATACTTGGGTTAGGTAACAGAAACAAGGACACAGGCTTCAAACCATGTGAACCCTGGTCTGTACTCAGCCCTCTCCTCAATAGCTGTGTGGTCTTGAGCAAGCCTCGGCAGACCTGGAACGGCAGTTTCTCTGGGAGATGGACTGGAAAGCACTTTGTAGTGTTGTAAAATAGATAATGGAGCACTATGCTAGGCACATTAGCTCATTGTCCTGGGAAAAGTCGCGGGATCATCTAGTCATTGGTCCATCCTCATTCTGAAGATGAAAACCCCGGCTCCAAAGAGCAAGAGCTAACTAGAGTCACGCAAGCAGATGGTCTTTGCCAATGGCATATGCAGTCTCTAGACCTCACGTGTTTGTGTATTGTGACCCAGCTTCCAGTTCTGAGGGCAGATGCCAGTCTGTGCTCCAGTCCTCAAAGGCTTATATGGAAAGCCCACCTTGCTGAGCTTTCCTCTGTGCAGCCTCTGTTGTTCCTTAGGAATGACTTCTACTGATGAAAATAGACCTAGCATGGTCATGTTGAGGAGTCCGCTAGTCCCCTGATGTTACAGTCTTTTAAATAGTACCCGAGAAAAGGGGGTGGGAGCCATCACTTACTGAGTTGTGGGCTCCTGTGATCTCTGCAGTGATGCACAGGCTGTGTTACAGTCCCCACAGTGCAAATGAAAACCCCAGGCTCAAACAAACGGAACAGCCTGCTCAGCATAGACACTAACAACAGAGCTCAAGCTCCTCCCCTCTGCAACAGAACCTTATTACTCTTTCGGAAAACAATATTGCAAAATAGAGAGAAGAGGGGGCCAGTGGCAAAACTGGGAGAACCGGCACCTTGTCACTGAGCTGTCATGTCAAATGCTAACTTAGGGTTTTTCTCCTGCCCACAGTGAGATCTAGCAAGGCTTTTCAGAAAAAGGAATGTGGATTTGTGGCTTGGGCTATCCCTAGAAACCAATGCGTGTGACAGTGTGGACACCCCTGGCTTGGGGCTTCTATCTTTCTAAGGAATAATTAATAAATATTTTCTTTTAGCATATAACAAACAGTTGAACCAAACAATGAGGTAAACTGGAAATGACCCAAAATGAAGTAGTTGGCAGTCACTCAGTGAAGTGCATTGTCGTGCACGTGTGCGAGTTTGTCACTCCGCCTCTCTGGTGAGCTGCACTTAATAGGAATATTTTAAACTATGTAGCTAAGCAACAGAGGTAATTGTTGCTTTCTAGAGCTTTTGTTAGCACTCTAACACAGCCCAAATATGCATAATTAGGTATAATGTCTATAAATCATTATTGTACACATGTGGGTAGTTAAGTGGAGTGAGAGAATAGTTCAATGAATTGAGCATATTCACTGAAAATGCTTTTTATTTGTTTTCTGTAGTTCATAATACTTTAAAATTATCATAACCCTTTACACTTTCTCTTAATAGCCAACTGTGATATTGAGAAAAACTTCATTTGCATTTTAGACTATGTTTAATATATTATTTAAAGCTGGAGTTGCTCTGATGTAGGCTCAGGAGAGGATAGGCTCATCCTATCAACATTATGTGCTTGTTTATACAGCCTCTTTTCTAGGAACTGAAATGTTAAATTTTTCAGTTTGTGTTGAATAGATCCCAACAAAAGACTGCACCCTATAATCAGCATTATTTACAGGGGCTAGTGTTGTGACTGAATTCTTCTCTGCATCCAAAAATGCTTTTAGTTACTATGGCAATATTTACTTGATCCTGGCAGTCCAGTGTTGATTTAGGGAGATAATTACCAGAAAGGAAGATGATGGAGATGTATTTTTGAGTGTCCTTGTCAGAGACAATGTTTATAAAAAAATTGAATGAGACCAAAAAAACAAATGCACATTGTCTTCCAGGCAGACACCCCCTCCCACAGCTTCATGCTGATGGCCGTACTTTCCTCCAAAGATGTTTATTAGCCCAGGAGGCACTTCACTTGTTGTCTTTACCAGTATTTAAGGGGGCTTATCATTTTATGCTTCCCATCCCCCACCTGTCTTGTTGGATCCTGTTGTTGTTCTGGCAGATGTTAGCAGACTCGTAGTGGGCTGTTTAGTACATTTTACAGCGTGGTGGTCACGGAGAATGCATGTAGTTTGGATTCTCCTTTGGAGAGTTTGCATGGGGGCAGCTTTGGTGAACCTACCATACAAGCATACATACATACATACATACAACAAGACAAGGAAATGAGTGGTACTGACAGCTGCTGTGGAGTGGACTGGGCCCTTGGAGGTCTACTCTTGGTCGCAGGATCCAAGTCGCTCATATCTGACACCCTCAAACCAACTCCCCCTCTCATTTCCTTTTCTTTATAACACAAATATATGCAGATGTCAGACAAGAACATGTATTACTATTTAAAGCACCAAAGCCCAATGATTATCCCATTTATGTTTCCCCAAATATAGAATTGTAACTTGACACTGAAAGGGAAGACTTGAGAGCTTCTGAGTTCCTCAGTTATAATCCATATAGAGGTGTGTGTATCTTAGTTAACGTTGCATAAACACGGAGATCATTTCTGAGAAACTACAAAGAATAAAATTCAAATAAGCCCCCTAAACACATTGCCATGATCCATAGAAATTTGATGAGCATTTTCCTGCAGTGTGTAGCATGCATATTCAAGGTCCCTCTGGTGGCTAAGATGTAGGGGGTGTAACAGCAGGAACCTCATTGTGGCGCTGTTGCGGAAGTACCAACCTCTGTCATAATAGTACCCTAAAAGGACTTAGCTCTTCATATGCAGAAGATTAGCAAAGTACTAATCTTATTTTATTTCATTTGTATTTCTCTCACCAATGTTTGCAAAATTCATAAACATTCCACATTATGCATATTTTATAGGCATACCAGTATCCATGCATATATCCATGCAGATTTATACATATACACATATGTATATGTATACATATACATATACACAGAGTATATATGGTCATATGTATGTAAATAGTTATGGAAGCTCCTTAAAATATTTTTGCTTTCTTGTTTGGTTGATTGACTACGTTTTAAAGGCAGGATCTCACTTGTGGTCCGGACTAGCCTTGAGCTTGCTAACCTCCTTCCTCGGAGTCCTAAATATTGGGATTACAGGTTCCCGTCACTATGCCCAGGCCCTTTAAATATTTTTGTTCTGCTTTCTGATTTCTTTTCTTGTAGAGGGAAACATGGTAAAGCCTGTAGAGGAGACCCTTCATTCACCTGCGCAAGAAAACTCGCTCCAGACAGAAGACCAATATGCGTGTTATCCAGAGCTCATGGGTAAATCTCTAATGCACCTGAGCAAATACGAAGAAAGCGTGTCTGTGCCAACTATAAGAGAAAGCTTAAACGACAGTGGCATCCAGTCTTTAAAAGCAGAGAGTGACGAGACAGATGGGTGCTGTACGAGCCATTCAGACGATGGAAGGGACAAAGTCCTCAGCTCCCAGCCACCTTTCTGCTCCTCTGGCGACAGTGAAAGTGACTCTGAAGGCACCGAGAATGGATGGGGCAGAGGCTCCGTTTCCTCAGAAGACACGGACCCTCAGAGTGGCCACAAACACAAGCCGGCATTCGCTAAAAAAGACCTGCTGGAGGTTCCTGAGATAAAAGCTGAAGGTGACAAATTTGCCCCATGTGAGAACAGGTCTGATTCCGACACCGAAGGGAGAGACCCACAGAACTCCCACACGGAACCCTTGGCTGTCAAAGCCCGGCCTTCCTTCCCAGAGGCTGAAGATGGTGAGAGCCTGGTCCCCAGTACAGAGGAGCCTGGAGACGTGGATAAAGTGAAGGGGAACCTGAGTTTGTTGGAGCAAGCTATTGCTCTGCAGTCTGAACGAGGTTCTGTCTTCCATCACACCTACAAGGAGCTGGACTGCTTTCTCCTGGACCACCTGGTGAGGGAGCGGAGGCAACCCAAGGTTACCGACACTGGTGGAAGACAAATCTTTAACAATAAACGTAAGCACATTTTTATATTCGTTGCAGGAAGTAAGGTGATTAAGAATTTGAAAATGTTAAATGCGCCTATTCCTTCAAAATTAGCCTTTTGACGAGTTAATGTAATTTAAAAATCAATTCATAATCATGAAACTTGCCATTTCTTACTCTGCAGCCACCCTTGTTCACTGTCAGCTCAGGGTCTGTGGATGCTTTGGTGTCTTAACACCTGACACATTCGTCCTCTCTCATTTTCTCATTGGATTAGCTCCTCAGAGTCGCACTGGATATTTTATTTAAGACTTTAACTTATTTCATTAGGCAAATCAAGTCTAGAATTTAATTTTTCTTTCGATATTCTGTTCTGGGATTATGGGGCTGCTTTCAGGTTTCAAAATGAAAAACATCACGTCGCTGGTAAGCCAGGCAGGATGTTCTGAGGCTCCTTAAGGTTAAGCCAGTTGTTAATCTACTTGTAAGATGATGATTTCCCAGCTCTCCAGCGACAGCCCACAGATACCTGGGTCAGACTTCAATTGACAGGGGGAATGCGCTTAGAGAAGACCTTCGATTGCTCTTCCGGCATCAGGGGAACGATATAGCTCCCCTGCTGGAGGACTATGCCTGTTCTCACACTCGAAGCCTGTAATGTTTGTTAGTGGCCACTCCCAGTAGTCCACAGGAGCTCAGAGGAACACTTAACATGGCTACACCCAGGGTCCAGTCAGATTCAGACCTCCAAAGAGTATTGTTGTTCTTTGTTTTCGGGAGATTGTTGGACCCCTAGAAGCTGATGACCACAGAATCAGGGGAACATACGAGGGAATGACATGCTCCTTGATCTTGAGGGCTTAGAGGAATAACATCTGTGTGGTCAGAAGTTCTAACTGGGGAAAGTGATGCACAAGGGAATTGTTTGATAATCTGAAATCGCTGTTGATACTTACCTGCCACTTAACACACAATGCCTTGCGACTCTGAGAAAGTAGAAAGATGGAAGTTTAGTACAGAAGATGCTGCTGCTACACGAACGTGCAGCACAGCTGTGAGTGGGATGGAGCAGGATGCTAACGAGGAATGTGCAGGTGCAGACAGGACTTTCTTTATATCGGTAATTAATTTCTTAATTTTTCCTTATTTACCTTTTAAAAAGATAAACTACAAAATCTGTTAAAAAGGATGCACTTCAATCTAAGTCAGATTTTGTTGGTTTTGAGGTCTATATTTCTTCTGTTTACCATCCCTGAAATCATAAGGGCATGCAACAGTTTAACCTTCAACATTTTTTTAAATCACATATAAAATAATGTTATAGCTTTCGACTGATGATGTTTTCAGGCAGTGAAATCCCAGGTTTGTAGAAATTTTTTTCAACAGCAAGTTCAGATGCTTGATGGTTTTCGGTTATTTTATAACGTTTTAAAATCATCTTATATTTCCAAAATTAGTAACACAATAGGGTGTGTATAAGCAACCCTTGGTAGTGTAGTGGCTTAGGGCACTACTGGGGAGAGTAGATGGATTAACAGGATGTCGTGTGGCAGAGGCCTGGCATTGCTTTAGGTTTCAAGACCCCTGAAAGATGACCAGGCTCAGCTGAGGCAAGCATGGAAGGTGGGATCTGGGTTGCTGTCTGTCTATGGGCACTGATACCCGCAGAGTCTGCACTCGGCATTCATACACCCTCTGCTTGATGGTCCTAGAATCGGGAACCTGGGGCCTTGTTCTTGGATCTGCATTCTCTGTTTGTAAGTGATCGTTCAAGCTGTCATTTGCTGCCTTCTTTAAAATACTGTTCTGATTTGGCGGACACTTTGCTCATGGACTCTGCCGTTAGGGACAGAACACTAAGACTTTAACATGTCGTCCTACCCAAGTTCACAGAGGAGTCAGCAAGGCTCCAAAGTTTGTCAAACTCTGCCCTGGTACATTCGGAGATGAGGCTGTGGTGTGGGCGCTACCTATCATGGGGCCCTTGTCGAGTAAGAAGAGCAAGGGAACAATGGGGCAAGGCTGCCTGGGATGAAGGAGGATGGTCCCAGGCAAACCAGGACACAGCAGCACTGGAGAATGAAGGCCCCTCATTGTGTAGTGCTATACAAAGAAAATGAAAGAAGAGGCAGGCTGAGCCGCTGCCCTGAGCCGGTGCTCAGGTTTCTTATCATGCAAACAGGTTCTGCCCTCCAGAGCATTTTCATCTGCAGCTTTGTGTTTGGAGGCCCAGGAGAGAGCCGCAGACAAAGGGGCATGGTGGACTGTCAGTGGGCCCCACCTGGGCAGGTGCCAGCCCTGTTATCTCCAACACCCTTCCTGGCTTCCCTCAGACGCACAGTGTGCCGAAGAGGGGAAGTGCTCCCCGCCAGCCCTGTCAGTGCTTAGAAATGTGGTGTCATGTGGACAAGATCCAAGAGAGGAAGCACATCAAAACAGACTCAGTGGTTTCTCTCCTCTCCGTGAGTGGCAGTTTGCAATGGTGTCAAACCTCTCGGTTCATTTCTATCAAACTTCAAAGACTTTGACCTACAAGGTTTACACGCCTAGAAACTTGGCATTATATTACTGTTAAGTAAACTTGTTTGCACCAAATCCTAGAACATCACAATCTGAATATCCTTCTTTTCTCTTACAGAGTACAGAAAGGAGCATCCTTCCACACCCGTCATTTTAGTTAAATCTGTCTTTAGTGAACCACGCTGTTTCCCGGCATCCCTGCCCTTGGTCCTTCTCTGTGCATTTGCAGTGCTCTGATTTCAGCCTCCTGACTGGTCCTAAACTGTCAGTGCTGGCTACAACTTGGGGGATCCTCAGCCCCTCCTTCTTTTCTGAAACCATGCCCCCATGTAATTGGATTACACACGGCCTGCTGTGCCCCATCTGCCTAGAACTGCTTGTAATCTAACAACTGGAATGACTTGGTTTTACAGAGATACGCTGTTCATGCGGTGTAGAGCCATGGAGATGTCTGACACATCCCATATCCGTGACCTGCTCTGGGTGGTTTCCTTAGAGCAGGAGGGTGTGAGCTTCCCATCCCCACAAGACAGGGCCCTTTCACCTACTCAAGGCCAGCAGCTTCACGAGCAGGGTCTCATAGATTACTTATAGATTACTTATTGTCACCTGGGCCTCACATCTGCTCAGTGTTCTTGTTGGTCCACATTGAGAGTTCCTCCTGAAGGCTGTTTTTGCTTCTTTCTCTGAGTACTCACATACTTCTAGCTTTCTGACTACCACCACACACACACACACACACACACACACACACACACACACAAACATACACACGAACATACAATTTCATCCTGAGCTCAAGTTGGGTTAGTTTGGACCATAAGATTGCATTTCTGTGTCATTGATTTACCAGTTTGACCATATGTGCATGCATGTGTGTGCATGTGTTATATGACTGTACATGTATGCTTGTATGTTTGTGTGTCATATGTGTACATGGATGTGTGTGTTCATGTGTGTATGCACATGTTTGTCTATGTGCATACATGCACATATGTGTTTGCACAGATGCATGTGTGTGCACATGTTCATGTGTGTGCTCCTATACGAATATATGCATATGTCTGTGCATGTCAATGCCAACCTCATCCATATTCCTATTCTGCACTCATTTATTTATAAGCCTCTCTCTCAACACCCTGAGTACCAGGAAATCAAACTCCTGGCATTTTCTTCATCCCTTCCATCTTGGGCTCCTATCCTGTGGCAACTGTCATTCCTGGGAGCCCCACCCTCACAGGTTCTGAGTCCTCTTTCCTTCTCCTCAGACGCAACACGCGAACACTTCCCTTCAAATCTTCTTCATCACCTCAATTCCGAATTTCTGCAGCTGTGACCACAGCATCCTTCTGTGGCCATCTCACCTACTCCCGAGAGTTTGTTCCTAGGGGGCACAGATTCTTGGAAATATTTTTTTTCCACTTGGTTGTATAGGACCCAGCCTATTGATTCCCATCAGCTGCTCTGCATAAAGCCAGCTCAACTTGTATGTGAGTAGCTGCTCTACCCTCCCAACTTCACCTGCTGCCAGGGACCCACAAGGACAAAGCCAGAGAGGCCTTCTGCCTATATGGTGGGCTCTTTGTCTTGTAATTTTAAATCTGTCTTTCTGTAAACTCTTTCAAAAGAGAATGGCTTGAGGTTAAATAAATTCTCCTTTCTTGCTTTTCTTCTTTTTATTTTTTTTTTTCCAGGAGCATGGTCACCTTCTGGCACAGGATGACTTTTCATAATAAAGACTTAACTCCATTATGTGACATGACAACTTAAATCCATCTCTGTGTTTTAACAGTCCCTTGCCCTGTGGCAGCCTTTGCTTAGGAATCCAAGAAAATTAAAAATGTGTTTTGCTTCCACGGGTCTTAGTTGAGGGTTTTATTCAAGGCAACGTAAGAAGAATGTTTATGATGGAGAACCTGAATAGAGTGTGAGTGACCCCACAAGGCCACCCTATTGAGTGATGAGGAGGAAGCACCGTGTGAGTGTCTCAATTCAATTTCTTTTTAGATTCGCCAAGGCCTGAAAGGAGGGAGGCCAAGTGCCCCATCCCTGGCTGTGACGGCACGGGGCACGTAACTGGGCTCTATCCCCACCATCGCAGCCTTTCCGGGTGCCCCCACAAAGTGCGAGTTCCTCTGGAAAGTGAGTATCCCTCGTTCTGAGGTCACACCTACGCCATCATCCACACAGTGCAACCTCATGCGGCCGTCCCCCTTCCTTCTGGTTAGAACTAGAATGGAAACATAATATATCTTCACATGTTAAGCAATCTCCATGTAACTCTTTGAGGTGGTTGTGCGTTTATTTGCTTCTGACTTTGAGACCAGGTCTGGCTTCTGAAGCCCTCGGGCGTCTTCCTCTACCGTGCCCAGTTTAGCTATTGTTCTAAAACATAGTTTATTAGAAAAGTTTAAGAACAGCCGTAGTGACCTCCCAACCTGCCCTCACCATGAGATCACATGCTCCTTAGAGTTCTCTCAGGAGGCTCTGTCCCATCTGAGCCCCCTGGAGCAACAGCCTTTCCTCCTCATCCCTGCTGTAGTTATTCAGTGCTTTGGGCTGCAGAAGAGAAGGGATGATTAGCTGGAAACACTGGGATCTCACCCAATTTCTCAAGTTGTTACTGGGACAGTTCTTGGGCTACCCCTTAAGTAAAAGTGGGGATACCTTGACATCCCCAGCTGTCAGGATTTGGAGAATCGCTAGTTTTTCCCCACCTGATCTTACTGCAGTATTAACAGTTCCTTGGTCTAACTCTCTTATCCTTCATTCAGACTTACTCTTACCAGTAGTCACGTGGCAGGGGAGGGTGGATGGACAGAAGCAAAAGAGACCACTTAGGAACCGTCCAGGTTAAGGTGAAAGGATTGAAAGAGCTGTGGAACTTGTGGAAAAACAAGATCTCTGCTGCTGTAGAGAAATGTCCTTAGTGGGTGACTAACGAGCTTCTCAGGTCAGACAAGAGAGAGGCAGCAGGCTCTGTCCCAGCACATGTGTTCGTGGTCCCAGAACCACAGAGGACAGGGGCAGGGGTATCTAGGGCTGAAACTGTTTGACAGTCAGAGGAGCTTAGACATGAACTAACTTTCTGGGTTTTCTATCTGAAGTTATGAGGGTTTTTTTTCAGTATGAACACATCCCAGGAAGAATCACGGGGAACTGCCTATGTGAAGTCATTTGAGTGTAAAATGGAGAAGTTAATTGGATGCTATCTTATATATAATGTATGTATGTACATATGATAAATTGTTCTTACCTTTAACATGATATTTTATGCTTAGTTCTTGCCATGCATGAGAATGTGCTCAAGTGTCCCACCCCAGGATGCACAGGAAGGGGACATGTGAACAGCAATCGCAACACTCACAGAAGGTATTCTGATAACTTGCCAATAATTTACGTTGCAAAGTGCAAAAGAAACGTTCCACAAATGAGATAATAGGCCATGGGTTGAGAGAACTGGTGTGTCATTGTTAAATGTTACTTCTTGAAATAGCTACCAACTAGCCTCAACCTCAGGAAAATTTACGTTAGTGGTCAACTAAATAATGAAACAGTTGTGTTGGAAGATGCTCAGGCTCCATGTCTACAGAGAAACATGCACATCAGTGCTCCCTATGGGTTAGCCCACTCAGCAGACATTTAGAAGGGTTTTACATTTGTAAGATAGGACTTTGAGTGTAAACCACACAAGGCATATATGCCAATTTTATTAAAATTTAAACTAAAATTAAATTAAACTAAAAGCACACTGTATGTATTTACATACAAGTATATGGTGTATACATGTGGATATTTTAAGCAAAATTTTATTTTATTTTTACCATGCATTTTTTTAATGTTTCTGTACCACAGTGTGCAGTGCCCACAGAGTATAGGAGAAGGTGTGGACTTTCCTAGAACTAGAGTTATCGATAGTTATGAACTGCCATGTAGGTGCTGGGAATCAAACCCAGGTACTCTGGGAAAGTAGCCAGTGTTCTTGACCACAGAGTCCTCTTTCCATTCCTGAATTATTTTAATTTTATGCACACATTTTATATTATACATGGAGTGTGTGGTTGAGTTATGGTTTGGCTTATAATAATATTGCCAAAAGCAGTTTGGATGCTCAACTTACGAGACCTGGATGGAGGAGGGTGGTCCTTGGACTTCCCACAGGGCAGAGAACCCTGATTGCTCTTTGGGCTGACGAGGGAGGGGGACTTGGTTGGGGGAAGGGGAGGGAAAGGGGAGGCGGAGGTGGGGAAGAGACAGAAATCTTTAATAAATTAATTAAAAAAATATTGCCAAAAGTTTCATATTTGTGCCTTCAATTTAACTAAGATATGAAATTTAGCCTCTAAAATTTTGCTAAAATTCCTAAGGTAGGCATGGAGTTTTCATGCTCACTTCTATAGTCAGACAGTTGTCGTGGGAATGAGCACTTCGGTTTTAAAAGACCGAGTTTCAGAATTTTTTGGTATTTCCCCATTACATAACATGTTGATTTTTTTTAAATATATTCACTAGTTGTCACCTCTGAGATGGAGATCAGGAACAAATGTAGACACTGAATTTGTAAACCCTTTGGGATCTTTTGTATGACAATGGCGCTAAGTGAACTATTAATATGACTTAACATTTGCTGTACGCCAAGGGTGCTGTGTGTCTGTGCCAAGGCAGACCTAGTTGTCACGCTCACTCACATCCTCCAATGCTTCTTCTTTTGAAACAGTCTTTCGGGTTGTCCCATTGCTGCGGCTGAAAAGTTGGCGATGACCCAGGACAAAGGTCAACTTGATTCTTCCCAAACTGGACACTGTCCTGAGCAAGCTCACAGGTATGAACCCTCCTGTTCATATTGGATCCCACCCAGCAGAGCCTCTGTTTCAAATGTGTCATTTCACGAACGTCTGCTTGTCATGTTCGGTCACTAGTAGGTTGATGTGGGCAGCCAGTTTGCAAGACCAGTAAATGATAACATCATTCAAATGATCTAGGGGATATTTCAGAAGTTTAGCTTAATTTCCCTATCTTTACAAGGCTAGCATAATACTGACATGCCCAAAAGAATGAAATATACAATCACATACATTAATCAAATTTCTCTGGCACTAATATAACACCAGGTAGCCTCCCATTTGTGATGGAATTCTTTCCTGCCTGAAGGAAACTTCATCAGGAACATTTCAAAGTATGAGATTATTATGTGCTGCCTTTAGGTTCACATATACACAGGGCTTTCATGGTAGGTATCTGGTAACAAATGTCTCCATGGTCCCCTGAGTGCCCAGGTTCTTCATAATATCTAGTAGTTTCAACGAAATTTTACATAAAATGAGTGTTGATTCTTAAGGTGATAGAAAGCTTATTCTGCAACCATCATGTATATAGTAAAAGTTATTTGAGAAGAAATAAAGGTATCAAATAACTGTTGTCACTGAGCTACTAAAACTTCAAAAACAATTAGTAGGTACTTTAGTATTTCCAGGGTGTTACTTAACATGGGGTTCTTCATTGATATTGGAATGTTCTCTTGATTCTCCATAAATATGCTTAAGAAAAGCTACAATTGAGTTTCTTGTTTACCATTGCTTTAGACACTAGTGTCACTTTAGATAAGATTATTTCCACAATTTAGGGTGACAAACCAGCTTACAGTAACATCTGCTCATCCCTCAAGTATTTCTCTATTCAAAATCAAATTTTGCATACAACATACTTTGATCATATCATTTCCCTTCCCCAGGTTCTCCCCACCTCCCTACCCACCCAGCTTCATGCGTGCTCACTTACTCTCTCCCAACTCTAAAAAAACAAAACCAAAAACAAAAAGTTAAAATCAGAATAGACAAACAAAAATACCCCAGAAAGACAAAAAGTAACAAAATGTTTGCACATGCACACACACACACACACACACACACACACACACACGCGCGCGCGCGCGCACTATGAAGTTGGTTTTGTGTTAGGCAATTACTCGTGGGCATTGGCTTGCCCTGGACTGTAGTTGATATACCCAGTGACACTCCAGTGAAGAAGATTGATCTTCCCTTTCCCAGTGAGAATTAATTGCAAAGACCTTCTCCACTGGGGGGGGGGTGGGACTTTATGGTCATTTTCCTTCTCTAGGCTGCAATTGTGTCTAGTTTGAACTTGTTCAGATTCTGTGCGTGCTGTCATATTCTCTGTGAATTCATATGTGTATCTATCCTGCTGCATCTGGAAGACACTGTTTTCACAGAGTTATCCACCACCTCTGGCTCTTAAGGTCTTTTCACCTCTTCTTGAGGGGAAGGATTTGATGAAGACATCACACTTAGTACTGAGTGCTCAAAAGTCTATCACTCTCTGAACATAGCTGTGTGGGTCTCTGTGTTAATTCCAACCTACTACATGAAGAAAGCTCCCTGATGAGGGCTGAGCGATACTCTTACCTATTGGGTATATCAGTATAACACTAGCGGTCATTTTAGAGTTATCTCCTTTATGGCAACAGTATTATTAGATTTTCCCATAAGTACATGACCAATCTAACCTCATGTTCTTGACCACTTTACCAGAGTCAAAAATGGGTTTCATTTAAGGAGTGGTCCTTAAGGCCAAAATGTGATTGGTTATTCCCATAATATTTGGGCCACTATTTACTAATATCCTTCATGCAAGTCACTGATGTCAGTTGCAGGGTTATAGCCGGTGGTATTATTTCTTTTGTTCTCTGGTAGTGTACAGAATACCTTGCACTATGAATGCTAGTCAGTAGGGGTGACTACTGGTTAGGCACCAGGTTGAGTTTTTAAAGACAGAAGTTTTGTATTCAACAACAGTCCTTACAATCAGGTTGTAGAGAGTAACCAAAAACCTTAGAAATCACCCATTATTTCTAGAGGGTAAGTTTATAGTAAACCTTTGGCCCATTGGGTCCACAAAATGTGAGCCATTTCTAGCATTGAAGATTTTACTTGGTGGCATGAAATGTTTAATTGAGTCATTGTCTCCCACACTATATAGCAACTCCATTAAATTTCTTTCTTATATTCATATATGTTTTGGGAAGCCCCTATAGTAGTAGGTTTCCTTATGGCTTTACAAATGGCCTTCAGTGTTAGTTGTCCCTCCCCATATTTCCCCCTTTGCCCTGACCTCCAAACCCCCTCTCCCTTTAATCCTCACATTCTACTTTGTTCTGTATTCCTTTAGGACACTAAATTCTGTTTCTCCTTCCTTGGGAGATCACCTCCTCCTCCTTAGTCTTAACCTAACTTCTGTCATTATTCTAATTAAAACACATATAACCATGTATAAGAGAAAAGACAATATTTGCCGTTTGAGGTCTGGGTTATCTCACTCAGAGTAATTGTTTCCAACTCTATCCATTTATCTGCAAATTTCATTCTTCTCCACAGGTGAAGAGTAGTCTATTGTATAAATGTACCACATTTTCATTATACATCTTCAGCTTTGGACATCTAGACTCTTTGCAATTTCTGATTCTCGTGAATCAATGCACACGAGTGAGCACATATCTCTGTAGTAGGGTATAGAGTCCTTTGGATGCATGCCTCAAAGAGGTATAGTTGGCATTTGAGGAAGAATGAATGATATTAGCTTTTTCAGGAACCTCTGCAATGATTTCCATAGATGCTGTACCAGTTTGCACTTGTACCAGTAATGGATATATGCTCCTCTTTCCCTGCTTTGTCACCAGAATGTGATGTTATTTGCTTTATTGATCTTGGCCATTCTGACTGGGGTAAGAGGAAGTCTCAAAATAGTTTTGATTTGCATTTCCCCAATGTCTACGGATCTTTAAAGTTCTCTGAAGAGTTTCCCCATCATTTGAGTTTTATCTTTTGAGAAATCTGTTAGTTTTATACTTCATTTCAGCTAAATTATTTGTTTCCTTGGTGTCCAAATTTTAGTCCATATATTTTAAATATTAACCCTCTTTCAGTTGTAAGTTGCTTAATTTTTTATTTTCTGTTAGCTGACACTTTACTTGAGTTATCAAGTCCTTTTCTGTACAGAAGCCTTTTAGCTTTATGAGATTCCATTTATTAATTGTTGATCTCTGTGCCTGCATTCTCAGTATCCTGTTGAAAAATCTCTTCCTCTGCCAGTAAGTTCAGTCCTAGTCCCCACGTTCTCTTCTGTCAGATTCATAGTATCTGGTCTTACATGGAGGTCTTTGATCTAACCAGGGTTGAATGTTGTGAGGGGTACAATCTAGTTTCATTCTCCTACATAGAGCCATCCTGTTTGACCAATATAACTTGTTGAAGACGTTGTCTTTTCTTCAGGATCTATTTTCAGCTTCTTTGTCAAAATTTGGGTGTCTGTAGGTATGTAGAATTATGTCTGGGTCTTCAATTCTATTCCGTTATTCAATGTGTCTATTATTATGCCAACCTCATTAGTTATTTTTAGTACTATAACTCTGTAGTACAACTTGAAATCTGAGTGATACATCCATCAGTTCTTTTATTATTCAGAATTGTTTTAACTCTCCAGAGATTTTTGTGTTTCCAATTAAAGTTGAAGATGATTTTTTTCAATTTCTGTGAAGAAATGTGTTGGAAATTTTTTATGCTTTAATTTTTTAAATTAAATTTATTCGTTGATTTTACACCCCAGTAGCAGTTTCTCCTCCCTCCTATCCTCCTAGCCCCAGCCCTAACCCAATCCACTCCTCTTCTATTTCCCTGCAAAAGGGGCAGGCCTCCCATGGGTATCAACAAAGCATGTTCTATCAAGGTGAGACACAACTAAGCTCCTTCACTTGTATTAAGGCTGGACAAGACAACCTAGGATGAGGAATAGGTTCCCAAAAGCCAACCAAAATAATTGGGACATGCCCTGTTTCTACTACTAGGTGTCCCACAATGAGCATTGTCACATGTATGTACAGGTTGGAGGTTGGTTCGTGCAGGCTCCCTGGCTGTTGGCCCAGACTCTGTGAGCAACTATGAACCAGGTTCCTGTGAGTTCCCTTGTGATGTCCTTGACTCCCCCTCCCCCCAGCTCATACCCTCCTTCCTTCCTTTCTTTATCAGGATTCCCTGAACTTGACCCAGTGCTTGGCTGTGAATCTCTGCATCTGTTTCCATCAGTTCCTGGATGAAGGCTCTCTGATGACAATTGGAGTAGTTTATCAATCCCCCATACTTCCCGTAAGCAGGACAGACTGTATGTAGGTCTAAGGTTGTTTGGTTGAGCCAGTCCATCTGCTGGAAGTCCTGCCTGGTAATGTGTTGAAATTTTGATGAGGATTGAATTAAATCTGTAAAGAACTTTTCGCAGGATGCCCATTTTCACTATACTAATCCTACCGATTCATGAGCATGAGGGAAGTTTCCATCTTCTGATATCTTCAATTTCTTCCTGCAGTATCTTAAAGGTGTTTTTTTGTTGTTTGTTTGTTTTTTTTGTTTGGTTTTTTTATATATATAATTTTTTATTGAAAAAAAAATTCCGCCTCCTCCCCGCCTCCCATTTCCCTCCCCGTCTCCCTTTTCCCCCCTCCTCCCTCTCCTCTCCCCCTCCCCCCACTCCTCTCCCCCTCCCTCTCCAGTCTGAGGGGCAGTCAGGGTTCCCTGCCCTGTGGAAAGTCCAAAGTCCTCCCCGCTCCATCCTGGTCTAGGAAGGTGAACATCCAAACTGGCTAGGCTCCCACAAAGCCAGAACATGAAGTGGGATCAAAACCCAGTGGCATTGTCCTTGGCTTCTCAGCAGCCCTCATTGTCCGCCATATTCAGAGAGTCCGGTTTTTATCCCATGCTTTTTCAGTCGCAGTCCAGCTGGCCTTCTGTAGCTTTTTGGTCCCTGTCCTGGAACTAGCTCTTGTAGACCAGGCTGGCCTCGAACTCACAGAGATCCGCCTGGCCTGCCTCTGCCTCCCAAGTGCTGGGATTAAAGGCGTGCGCCACCAGAGCCCAACTAAGTTTTTTTTTTTTTATCACGTTTACTTGCTTAATTAGCCCCAAGATTTTTTTGAGGCCGTTGTGAAAGGTTTTGTTTCCCTGATTTCTTTCTCAGTCTTTGATTTGTATATAGGTAGGCTACTAATTTTTGTGAACAAATTTTGTGTTTTGCTATTGTTTCCTGGTGGAGTTTTTTAGAATCATTTATGTATAAAATTGTATCCTCAGCAAGTAAAGATACTATGACTTCTTCCTTTCCTACTTGAAACCCCTTGATCTTCTACAGTTGTCTTATGCTAGTGAAGACTTGAAGAACTGTATCAAATAAGTGTGGAAAGAGTGATTTTAGATGAAATGCTTTCAGTTTCTCCCCATTTGGAGTGATGTTAACTGTGGACTTGCTGTACATTGTTATGTTGAGGTATGTTCCCTGTATCCTTAATCTCCTTAGGACTTCATTATAAAAGTGTTAGATTTGGCCAAAGGCCATTTCTGCAAGTACATTTTCTTTCCTAGTCTGTATTTGTATTGGATTATCTTGATTTGGTTTAGTTATATTAAATTATCCCTACATCTCTGGGATAAAGTCAACTTGCTCATGGTGGATAATCTTTTTTATGTTTTTGAACTCCATTTGCTAGTATTTTATTGAGATTTGCATATATGTTTATAGTTATATTATTTTATAACTTTCTTTATGATGGGTCTTTGTGAGTGCTTTGTTTGTTAGTTTTGTTTTTTCAACACAGAGTTTCTCTGTGTGATAACTCTGGTTGTCCTGGAATTTATTCTGTAGATTAGGCTTGCCTTGAAATCACAAAGATCTGCCTGCATCTGTCTCCTGAGTGCTGGGATTAAAGGTGTATGCCATCACCACCTGGTTGTATATTTTTGATATCATGACTTTGTAAAAGGAACTGGAAAATATTCTCTCAGTTTCTATTTTGAAGAATTATTTGAGGATTATTGGCATTAGATTTTCTGTGAAGGTCTGGAATAATTCTGTGATGAATCTATTTGGCTCTGGGCTTTTTGGGGAGTTAGAAAATTTAGGTAGGGGCCAGCTTTTTAGTTACTGATTCTATTTCACTAGGAGCTATGGGTATGCTTAAATTATTTATTTTAACTTAACTTTGGTAGGTCATATATATCGAGAAGTTCATCCATTTCTTTTAGGTTTACAGTTTGGTTGAATATAACTTTTTAAAATAAATCCTTTTGATTCTTTGAATTTTTTTCAGTATATATTGTAATGCTTCCCCTTTCATATCTAATTTTATTATTTTTTTCTGTACATTTTAGTTAAGTTTGGTAAGATTTTGTCAACCTTACTAATTTCCTTTTATCAATTCTTTGTTTCATTGATTCTTTGTATTGATGTGTTTTTGTTTCTATTTTATAGATTTCATAATTTGTGAGTTTGATTATTTCTCCTCATCTACTCTTTTATGGGTATTATTTATTCTTATTTTTCTGGAGCTCTGAGGTGTATCACTAAGTTACTAACGTGAAATCTTTCCATTTTTTATGTAGACACTTAGTGCTATGAACTTGCCTCTTAGAACTGTCTTCATTATATCCCATAGCTTTGGGTGTGTTGTTTTCTTATTTTCATACAATTATAAAAATGTTTTAATTTCCTTATGGATTTCTGTCTTGATCCAGTTTTAATTAAGTAATAAGTTGTTTAGTTACTATGAATTTGTATACTTTCTGCAATTCTGTTTTTGATAATATCCTGCTTTAATCTTTGGTACGCAGATGCAGGGTGATATTTCAGTTTTCTTGTATATTTTGACATTTGCTTTTTGTCATAAAATGGGGGATTATATTTGGAGAAAATTTCATGAATGCAGAGAGGAAAGTATGTTCTTTTGTGTTTAGTGAAATGGACTGTAAATGTCTGTTAGGTCCATTTGATTTATGATGTTTCTTTTTATTCTGGAATTTTTTGTTTAGTTTGTGTGCATGTCCTGTCTATTGATGAGACTTCGAGACTGAGGTCATCTACTATCACTGTGTGAGGGTCAGTGTAATAAGATGAATGAATTTCTTTTAAGATCTTGGGTGCCCTTGTGTTTACTGCATAAAAATTTAGAATTGTAATATACTCTTGGTAGATTTTTTTTCTTTAATGACTATGTAACATCCTTCCCTATCTCTGCTAATTAGTTTTGTGGGGGGGGGTGTCTGCTTTGTTAGATATTATAAAAGCTATACCTGCATATTTCTTGGTTCCATTTCCTTGGAAAACCTTAAGATTGTGTCTATCCTTGATGAGAAGATATGTTTCTTATTATACAGTAGATATCTTAAGATATAGTAAAAAAGATGAATCCTGTTCCCTAAACCAATCTAATAGTCTGTGTCTTTTTATTGGAGAATAGAGACCATAAATTCTGAGAGTTATTAATGAGAAGTGTTTATTAATTCCCATTATTTTGTGGTATAGATTTCTTTTCTTCTCTTTGAATTAACTCTTCTTGGTTTACTTATTCCTTATGTCTTCTTGTGTGTAGTTAACCTTCTCATCAGACCAAAGCATTCCTTCTAGTGCCTACTGCACAAGTGGATTGAAGACAGAAATTCCTTAAATTTGACTTTAATCATGAAGTGTTTTTCTTTCTCTGTCTATTGTGATTGTTAGTTTTGCTGGGAATAGCAGTCTGGCTGTCATCTGTGCTCTCTCAGATCTTGTCCAGGCCTTCTAGGTTTCAGAGTCTCCACTGTGAAGTCAGTTGATATTCTAATAGGCGTGCCTTTATATGTTACTTCATCCTTTTTCTCTTACAGCTTGAAATATCCTTTTATCATTCTGTACATTTAGTGTTTTGATTACTATGTGTTGTGGGGGAGTTTCTTTTCTGATCTTTTCTCCTTGATGTTTGTTGTGTTTCTTGTACTTTTATAGACTTATTCTCTCTCTGTATATATATACATATATATGTATATATATACATACATATATATATATACACATATGGGATATTTTCTTGTGTGATCTTTGTTAAAATTATTTTCTGTGCTATTACTTGGGTTTCTCTTCCTTCCTCTATACCCATTATTCATGGGCTTGTCTTTTTGTGGTTTCCTGGATTTCCTGAATGTTTTGCCTACTTTTTGTTTGTTTTAAAGATTTAACATTTTCTTTGACTGAGATACCCACTTTTACTACTTTGCCATCAAGATCTTAAAATTCTCTTTCCCATGTTTTAAATCTGTTGGTGAGGGTTAGTTCTAAGGGTTATATTTGGATTTGTTTTGAAATCCTACATGTTTCATTTCCAATATTATTTTAGTTTGTTTCCTTTAGTGATTCTGGTTTTTTGTTAAATTCTACTTTCTTAAATTATTTTCATTCAACTGTTTGTTAATGTTTTCATAATCTTCATTAAGGCATTTATTCATATCCTCATTAATGTCTTTAAAATATTTATAATTGCTAATTGGGAGCCCTTGTATTGTTTCTTAGCTAAATTGAATTTGTGTGAGCCTATTACAATATGGTTTCTGGCTTCAGGAAGAGGCATATCTTCATGGTTATTCATGATTGTGGTTTTGTGCTGGAATCTAAGCATCTGGAGTTAGGACTTTTGAGTATTCCTTAGTGTAGCTATCTGGTCTCATCCTTTTTCTGGTGGGTGTTTCAGTCATTGGTTTCTCTTGCTTAATCTGTGTCCTAATCAAGTGTGGTGGCTCTGGAATCCCTGGTAGGCAGTGGCAATTCTAGCTACTTTGAAACCTGACAAAAGTTTCTTTCTATTTTCTTCAAACTACTTCTTGCCTTTTACAAGGACGAATTTGGTGAAGCAAATTGAATTTAACTTCCGTTCACAAGCCATCGCCTCTCCAAGAGCCGCTGCATCAAAAGAACAAGAGAAGTTTGGGAAAGTACCATTCGATTATGCCAGTTTTGATGCACAAGTTTTTGGTAAACGTCCTCTCCTACAAACAGGGCAAGGACAAAAAACACCACCATTTCCTGAATGTAAGCTTCAAATTTTAATTCTAACACTCATTACCCTATAATGCATCTTGTGTAGAGGGGGTTATTTATTCAGATATATAATGTGTTCTCTAGAGATAACAGGAAAGAATAGTGAAATAAGTAAGTTAACTATTCTTACTAATTTTATATCAAAGTTACACTGAATATTGTAAGTCATTAATTATTTCCCAGATAGTGCCATTATTGAATCTAAATATAACAGTGCTAAGGAGATCATTAGGATTGTGATTAATATATTTAAAACTATGACGGCTGTTATACTATATTATTTAATTCATGTTGTGATCATGGCAATCTAATAATATGAAATATGTAATACTATTTAAAATACTTAAATCATCAAAAGACATCAGACTGAAGGTAGGGAAAGCTGAAAATTTCAAGAAACTCAATTAAGGAATCTGAAATTTACTAGGATAAAAACATGACTATGAAAACATTGACTAATAAATTTAAGGATTTGTTTATATAGAAACCTTCAAAATAGGTTAAATAGTAGTCTCATTAATTCTGACATGAGTGGAGAAGGCTGAACTGAACGGCTGTGCAGTAGAGAAGACTTGGTGGTCTTGCATATACATTTCTTTTAAGTATGCTAATGAAAATATGGAGAAGCAGGTGTCAGGACCAAATGCAGAAAATTCAGTAAGAAACACCCACCCACCTGGAGTCCTCTGTGGGCCATAGATTTACTGCAGCCTTAAAAATCGATGACTGTCTCAGATCTTACACCTGAATGGAGTGAGCATCCTATGAGTTTAGTGTTTGCTTCATTATGTCGTGTTGACCCATGCTTGCAGGAACCTAGAAGGCTACTAAGAACCTGGCAATGGGGATCCCATGGATTCAGCAATTGCTAACATGTCCAGAGTCTGGATTTTCACCCTTTATCCCCCTCCAGATAGATCAGAAACTTGAAACAAGTTTATCCATCACTGATGAGTACATAATAATAATAATAATAAAGATAGGCTTACTCATCATCAAAAGTGGTCCCAACAAACCTGAGTAGCAATTGACAACTTGTTAGATAACAAAATGTACACACATAATGTTTTAGCTAGCATCCCAATTTGCATAAATATTTTTATTATATGTGTACAATGAATATATGTGCATATTTACTTAATTCACATGTGGGGGATGAAGAGTGCACTAATGACTCATATTGTTTGGGTTTTAGTTATAAAAAATACCATAATAGAGTTAGTAACATTCTTATAGTTACAGGAATAATATTCAGCAATATCTTTTAGAAAACAATTAGCAAATCTTTAAAATAAGCAACACTTGATCCAAAACTAATAGCTAAGTGTTTTTATATCGTTGTACCCTGGTGTTTCTTCCACTACCTTGAGTGGAGCTCACAGACAGCCCTCAGTGAAGAGAAATTTGCGTAACTATCCCTCAGAAAAGCTGTGACACCCACAACAAAACACAGAAGGTCAGCCTTGGTAACTAAGAGCCTTTCTCTTCACCTTGAAAACAGGCCCTCTCTGTTAAGAATAGAGCAAGCATTCATTCCAAGTAATCAAAGTACATCCTGTGTCTAAGCAGAAACCTCAGTGAGAGCAGCCCCTGAAGGGTGCCTGCTCTCCTGAGTCATGGTCTTCAGCCTGTTCAGCTCGTGCACACACCTGTCCTGGACTGTTTGCAATATATGATGGGTTTTGCTCATTTTTAAACCTACAATTTTGCATACATGTTGCTAATACACCTGCCCTGTAACATTGATGATGGAGTCTGTTACCTATAAAGAAAATGCAAGAACTCTTTAAGAGAATGGGCAACTTTGAAGGATTGCCTCATCAAGTCTGTGCACCTTGATGAAACCTGGCTGTGTAACCTTCATTTAACGTACCAACAGATAATGGTTCTGCTTTAATTTATTTTAATGAAAGATGTTTTGTCTTTTAAAAAAAAATCTTTGATGATTGAAGCCAAGTACATGCAATTGCTAATCAAATCTCTCTTCAACAGCAAAGCATTTTTCAAATCCAGTGAAATTTCCTAATGGGCCGCCTAGTGCTGGCGCCCACACACAGAGCACAATCCGTGCCAGCTCTTATGGCCATGGTCAGTGCAGTGAAGACACCCACATAGCAGCAGCTGCTGCCATCCTGAACCTTTCCACCCGCTGCAGGGAAGCCACAGACATCCTCTCCAACAAACCACAGAGCCTGCGTGCCAAGGTAAGCCAGGCCAAGAGCGTGGAAGGTGGGCCAGCACGTGAGACTTGAGAATATAGCACCTTTCATGTTCCTTACTGCATCCACTTGCTTCCTCTACTTTCCACCCAAGCAGGGATGAGCTCTCAATGGGTTCGAGGAAGGGATGTGTAATTATCTTGGGGGTCTAGTAGTCTGCGGAGCAGTGCCTTATGAGGACGGTTGAGGAAAATGTCATCACTGTTTCTGTTAGGATGCATTTGGTGAGCAAGGAAAGAGAGCTGCTGTTACGGTATCTCTACGGTGGAAGCTGTTTGCCATCTGCAGGTCAGAGCCACTTAGAAACAGCGACTGGTGGAACATTCTTGAAACTGACCTTGAAGTTATGTTGTCCGCGTCACCCCTGCCCAGTGTGAGGACATCTAGGTTGTAGTATTCTAATAAGACCCACAGTACAGTGATTTATCAGACTGAGGAGAGGAGAAGCTTTACTATTCAATCCAGAACCACATTCTGGATCTTTGTGAACACAGTGCATTTCCTAAGAGATTAATCATACTTTCTGTAGCCTTCCTTTCTAACTGTGGGAAATACATAGTCACACATACGGTGACCCAGTGAATACCCAAAGACCCTGCATGCAGTGGGCCACAGCAGAAGCTGTAAGGGCTCAGTGTTTCCCCTTTTTGTACAAACAGCCTCACTTAAAGAGCTTGCCACCTATCTAGATAGCTAGAAGCCTGCCGACATAACACGCCCAGACCTTCTCTTACCACGGATTTTACCCTTGATTTCCTGAGTGACTCTCAGACCCTTAAGTCTGTGCAACACAAGCTGAGACATTTCCCTTTAAGGGCAGCCCCATCCTTGCGTGGTCAGCTGCTTGCCTGTGCTGTGCCAGGCCTTCAGGAAAGCAGGTAGCACTGTGCCACCAAGCATTTGACAGAAGAATCAGAATTAGCTTCTGGAAGAAGCCAAGCCAAGTAAACCCCAGGAAGAGGTGGTTGCCAAAACCCACTCAAAAACAATCTTTAAACAAATGAGGTTCTTAAACAAAGAAAAAATATTCTCTAAAAATATGGAGAAAATATGCAACTCTCTGAATTCATAATGCCAGTCACAAATTACTGACACAGAAGAAAAAATTGAGGGATGGTATAATGCAACTTTGTTTTCAAATTGACATTTTAAGGCCTGATTTATTCTCCCTTTTTAAGAATGTTATAGAGGTAGCTGGTTCCAGAAATACTCCAATGTCTTCCTTCCTACTGCTCTCTGCCTGACTTAGATGCTGTCTTAGAGGAGATGGGTTATGCCATCACGTCCTGGTTATTCAAGGTGAAGCAGCTGGTGACACTGCCAGGCCGAACGCTGCCCACTTGCACACCCACGCATTTCCTGCTATCCGGGCTACTTCTGTCACCCGAGATCTTCAGGTTCCATTAAGTGGCTGATGTCAAGCAAGTAACAGAGATGACTACCAGATGAGTGGCATTTTCTCATCAGTCGGCTCCCTTTTAAAGCCACGTTTATGATCAGAAAAAAAAAAAACACCTGCGTAATTACCACATTTCCAAAGGCCATACAGTCCTTTTCTAAAGTCTGTTTGTCCCCTCCATGTGTCAGCAGACCTGGCATTCCCAAGACAACGTCCTCTCCAACACAGCCCTTCCCACTCCCCACTGATGCCAGGATGCGGACAGTGGAGACAGAAAGGGCTTAGATCAGCTTTTAAAAGGAGCCACATAGGCCAGCGATCTTTTTAAAAAGTTCTATGAGAAATACAAACAGCGGTTGTTAACGTAGGATAAACCCTCTCCCCAGCATCCCTGTGAACAGTACTGCTGAGCTGCAGAGCAGACTTCTCCCATCCCCACGCAACTGTATCAATGTCTAGAACTCTCTTCATTGGTGTTCTGAATATGGAACTGCTACTCACAAATTTGCTGAAACAACTCTTTTAGAAATACAGCAAAACAAACACAGGTTCATTAACTCTTCAGACCTGCATCTAAGCAAACCGTGCTGGGCGTGCGGCTTTGCTGCTGCCAGCAAACCCGGGATTGGCGGCCATCTCCCCCTGAGCACTGCGTGCCAGCCGAATTCTTCCTCCAGTAGTTTTGAGTTTTGCTCTCTGTCACAGATTGTTAGTGCCATTATCTCTCAAAGTTCACAGCCATAAGATCTCCTATGCTTCATATTTAGAAGCAAATGAGGAAAATGTGTTTTCTTATTCTATCATGTGTCAGTTTATGAGACACATTGGCAAGCGGGGCTAAGCACTGGGGTTGCCTCAACTACCTATGGGTTGCGTGACCCATTTGGGGATAAAATATCCTTTTCACAGGCGTCATCTAATAGCATCAGGAAACTCACTGCAATTTGTAATGGTAGGAAAATTACAGTTATGAAGTAGCAACGAAAATCATTTTATGGTTGGGGGTCACCACAAAATGAGACGATATTAAAGGGTTGAAGCATTAGGGAGGCTGAGAACCACTCTTTTAGCCTGACTTCAGACCTGGAATTCAAGGAGCTTACTGATAAGCAGTAGGAAAGGAATGCCCCGCCCTTGGGCTGCTGAGGCAGAAGTAGGCCTGTGGAGGCTGGGTCTTGCACAGGTGGCTTCACGGTGCCTTCCATCTGAACTGGAGATGGCTGGTTTTTTTTTCTTTCCTCTTGTTTCCATCCAGAAACAACTTGCTGTGAACATCTCTTTGGTTGCTCACAGCACAAATCAGAGAATTTATTAAAGAGAACACTGAGGTCTGAAGGCCAAAGCCTGCAAAACTTAAATGTGCTGAAACCCCACCTCAGGTGCGTGCAGATTTTTCTACAGGGACGCCACTGACTCCACTCTAAGTAGGGTTCTGAATTGGGGATCTGCAAAACACTCAGATGGTTTTCAGAGGGTCAAGGAAGCTCTGAGTCCCTAGGTAAATATAAAGGCATGAGGGACAATGTTCAAGTTTCTATTGCTATGAAGAGATCTCATGACCACAACAACTCTTTTAAAGGAAAACATTTAACTTAGGCTGGCTAACAGTTCAGAGGTCTGGTTCATTGTCATCATGGTTAGAAGCGTATCAGCATACAGGCAGACATGGTGTCTAGAGAAGTCTCAGCTACGTCTGAATCCGCAGGCAGCAGGACAAGTGAGTTACTGGGTCTGGCTTGAGCTTCTGAAACTTTAAAGCCCACCCTCTAGTGACACACTTCCTCCAGTAAGGCCACACCTACTCCTATAAGGCCACACCTACTCCTATAAGGCCACACCTACTCCTATAAGGCCACACCTACTCCTATAAGGCCACACCCCCTAATAGCGCCACTCCCTATGAATCTAAGAGGATCATTTTTATTCAGACCACCACAGATGACATAGATAACTTAATCTGTTATGCACAGTGTTGTCCATTTAATCAACCTGTGTTCTTTACACACCAGGTACACACCATAACTGTGCAAAGAACATCAAGCCATGTCTAACATGTCTGGTAACTTTCCGAACCAGAGCTCACTACATTTTATATTTTAGGAGAAACTATTTGTGTTAAAATACCATTTTAGCTCTGAGTAACATAGTCATACCACCAGATCTCTTTCATGTGGTTGAAGAAACTAAGAAAGGAGAAAATAATTTGTATGATTAGTTCTTGTAAACATCATACAGGTTAAAAGGTCATTTTGTCTGAAATACTAGTTTTTTTTTCTATTCTAGTGCTTTTGTTGGTTCTAAGATAAGGAGAATGTCCTCCGTCTTTACTTGACATAAATAGGAATTTTGAAACATAAATTGGTCACACTGTCACATACCTTATGGTACTTCTGCCTGACCACTATGACTCTCAGTAGGAGAGCTGTGAGAGTAGATGGCCAGAGACTGAGCATCCTGGAATTGCTGAGAACGTTCTGTCAATGCCCCTGAGAGCTGTGCCAGCCTGTGGCAGATCCGGTCCACTTTTTCTACCCCCGTTCTCATGCACAGAGGTAAAACAGGCTTCCAACCCATCTTTATCCTCATCCCTGCAGCTTGCCAAGCGTTCTGTTATTTGTTTGGGTGTTTTCCCCACCTGTTTAGACAAAGTGACATATGCACAGTTCCTTAAAAGAAAACAAAAATTTGACACTTACTTGAAGTGTTTAAAGTTCAAAGTCTGTTTTTGCTTGAACAAGGCCTGGAAACAGCCTGCCATCGGTGCCGCCTGCTCGCAGGATTACCCCAATGGCCCCTGGGTAGTTAGAACTCAAAGCCACTTATAACATCAGAGCACATTGTACCAAGTGAAAGGTGGTGAGGATCTCGAGGCAGGAATCATAAAGAACTGAGTCTATAGGTGTATTGTAACTAGATACCCATAGTTAGCTCCTTGCTGGGCATGGTGGTGCAGCCTGGAACCTCGGCACCAGAGAGACCGAGATAGGATGTCAGGAGCTTGAGGCCATCCTGCGCTGTGTAGCAAGATCCTGCCTCAAGACATGTAAACAAATGAAATATTGACTCTTTAGCCCTGTGAACAGTAGTTGAGGGCTATGTCTCACTGGGGATAGATTTATAGAATACCTACTATGTGCTAGGTAGCCTTTGTAGCTCTCTGACCATGTTAATCCTTCTAAAGCCTCCTAAAGCCAACAACATGGATAATAATTTTCCATCTTGCCATGGAAGAGATGGTGGTACAGAAATACTGAATAATTTTCTGCGAGTGGCAGGGCTGTAATTGCTGGAAATGAAATTTGAATTCACACATAGCCATAGTTATTTTCTAAAATGCTTTATGGCTCATATACTGTCATATCAAGAGCCTGATAGAGCATGATTTCAAACTCAAAAATGTGTGTTTTGCTTGAAGAAGGCCTAGAAATTTGGGGAAGTAGCTCTAAATTTCATTCCAATGTCACACCTTGGGTTAGTCATTTCTTCTCTGAACTGCAAAATTCTATGTTATAAGCATATTTTACATGTTTGTCATCTTTACAGTGGAAGCAGTTAGTTACTGCTGAGTAAGAGTGGAGAGGGCTTCCTTTCCATCTTCAGTTGTATAGGACTTTCTAAGCTGTCGTTGGCTCCTCCTCATTCCTGTCTCACTGAGCAGGCGATGTTCTAGTTAACAGAGGTGCTGCTCGACATCCAGGCCACTACTTATCTTCTAGGAGAGATGAAGATAAAGGACACCCCCCCCCCAAAAAAAAGTCAGAACAATCTGCTCTTTCAGTTTCTCTTCTCTGGACCCTGTCCTGTTATGAGCATGCTGTGCAGGTCCTTAGTAATACAATGAACACACCCAGAGCCATTAGGTTGGCAACTCAAAGGCAGCATAAATCGATGGCCTATGTTCTTCTCCTAAGCTGAAAGGTCTATAACCAGCCCAAGGACACTTAAAGTATAAATACTTACAATAAAGATCCCAAATAGCACTGCAGAAATCTACGTGTTGGAGGGTGTGAGAGGGAAGCGCCGCCTCAGCTGCGGCTCTGGCCCTGCCTCTCCCACCACTCAGATTTCTGGGCTGACATTTGGAGTTCAAAGCATAGAAAAATAATGCTTGGTGGTATCACTCTGAATGAAAACCCATGCTGTGAATGTGTGATCCCCATCGTGGGTAGAAGGGCCTTTCCTGCCGCCGCACTGCAATTGTTGGATGCATCTGCGCACTTACTTCAAGCCCATCTGTACTCCCATCCCCAGCCCAGGACGTCCCCTTTCCCCAAGTCAGGTGCCCTGTGCAGCAAGCTGAGACACCTCTTCCAAACATCAGGAGTGAGATTTTTTCGAATTATGCAGCACAAATGTTTATAATGGCTCCTAGAATCTCTAAATTCTAAACAATATTTGAAATACTTTTATAAGAACTAATATATATGTGTATATGTGTACATATATATGAGACTATTCTTGGAATAGTTGGTATTTTTCAAAGCTTAAATCTGCACTATTTATGGGTTTTGCACTATAAAACTCTGCAGCCCAGTCACATGGCTTCTTTTTCCTAAGCCATCTGTCACAGAGGTCTGGAATTTTATGTGAATGTTGGTTGTGCAGCTTTAACCCAAGTTTTTTTTTTTTATGAAAAATGTCAGCAACTACAATATTTAGCATTTTACTTTACGTTGGCCATTAAACTTGATTACTATTGCTCTGTTTCATTGCTAGAGTTACACATCAGCTACAAAGCAAAAATTGCTTTGATGCCCGACTGGCAGAATGTACTGTGGGCTCATGGAAGAAGGGGGGCCGCTGGCTCTGATATGGTTAATATCTTGGATTTTTTTTATAACAGAGGTTTATTAAAGCTAGCATAAAAATGTATTTGATATTATACAGATGGCATAAGATGCTGTGGTTACTATGTTATTATCCTGGATAAGCTGTAATGTCAAATTCAGGGCTTAAAACTATCACAGGAGATTAAACTATTTACTAAAACGGGACAGAAAAATATGGCCAAAGTATTTTAGCCTGCTGTATTAGAAGTGTATTTACCTCCCGTAAATGCTGATGGACTGAAAGACTAGATAGGAACTTTGCAGGTAAAACAAACAAAAAAAGAAGAGGGCCTTTTATTTCTCAATCAAGAACCAATCCAGCCTGTGTGACTGCTGACAAGAGGAGCATGAGCAGGGCATTAAAACATGCCCTGGGCAGTATCTGGTGACCCCAAGATCTAAGGGGCTCGCTAACATAATCAAAGAGACGTCTCCTTTGCTGACTAAAATGGAAAAGTCAAGAAATGGACAAGAAGTTAACTATAAATTGATGGGTGATCTAGAAATAATAGCAAGGTTATTTCATTTATTTGGAGAGTTGATAGGCATGTTTTCTCATGCTTTGGGGAGATCTGGTAATGTTGGCAAAAGCCCCCTACAGTGCAAATCTTGAAGAACTTGGGCCACAGGAGGAGTCCTGTGGTGGCTACTACCCAGGCAGACAGGCTTCTCCTCAGAAACAATTAATAGCTTGGCTTGGGATCCCAAAGACGGTGGACCTGGAAAGCCTCATCACTATTATATCTCACAGGAAACACCATTAAAAAAAAAAAAAGACCTTCATCCTAAATCTTCATTACAGAACTGAACCTCGGAGACACAGAGTGAAGTCAGTTTCCACAATCATTTCTCCCTTCCCACTCACCTCACTTGAACAAAGCCTCTTGTCTTAGGGTTTCTGTTGCTGCAATTAAACACCATGACCAAAAAGCAAGTTGGGAAGGAAAGGGTTTATTTGGGTTATACTCCTACTTTGCTGTTTATCACTGAAGGAAGTCAGGACAGGAACTCAAACAGGGCTGTATCATGGAGGCAGAAACTGATGCAGCAGTCATGGAGAGGTGCTGATTACAGGCTTGCTTCTGATGGCTTCTTCAGCCTGCTTTCTTATAAAACCCAGGACCAACAGCCCAACGAAGGCAATAGCCACCATAGACTGGACCCTTGCCCATTGATCACTAGTTGAGAAAATGTCTTCCATCTGGATCTCATGGAGGCATTTCCTCACAGAGACTCCCTCTCTGATGACTCTAGCTTGTGTCAGATAAACACACAATCAACCAACCAGTCCACTTCTCCAGTTCAGATGGTCTAAGAAGAATGTTGCTTTCCTACTCCTACAGTATTCTGAAAAATTAGTTTCTAGCTGATTAGATTTGCATGTTTATGTTAGATTATTATGATGATTCAGGGAGTTGGGAAGTTATGTGCTACTTTTGCTAAATACAAATATTAATGTTAAAATGGTGAGTTTTGGGATGATATTTCCAGTGGGTGGAAAAGACTTTCAAAGCTCAACTTTAAAATATGCAAGTATGTAAAATTGTTTTAGCCAATGCATCTCATTTGTATTAAGCTTACTTTGTTTAAACCCAGAAATATGAAGCACATTAATGGGCTGTTCTTTAAAGTCTTCCAAAGAATTGAACGTTAGCCAATGCAAATCAGAAAGCTGGATTTAAAAGCAGATATACTTCCATAAAAGCTTACATTTTAAATTATCCCTTAAAAGCCCCACATGGCTAGGCTGTGACTGCAAACTGCTGAGATGTTTTCTGTTTCTGTTCTCTAACAGGGAGCTGAGATAGAAGTGGATGAAAATGGCACGTTGGACTTAAGCATGAAAAAAAATCGAATCCTGGACAAGTCTATACCCCCAACTTCCTCTCACACGATAATTTCAACCCCATCTTCTTCCCCATTCAAAGCAAGCAGCCTTTTGGTCAATGCTGCTTTCTATCAGGCTCTCTGTGACCAAGAAGGCTGGGATGTGCCCATCAACTATAGCAAAACCCATGGAAAGACAGAGGAGGAGAAAGAGGTATTGTGTCAATGTGTCTGTCGACTAGACTTCCTTTCTAACTTTTCTTTCACATTCCTATCGGCACAAACAAGTGTTAGGCCTTGTTTCAGATTTTCCATTTTATTTTTATGTATATGAATGATTTGCCTGCATTTATTTATGTATTCCACATGCATGCCTGGTGCCTATGAGGGTCACAAGAGGGGATCATATCCCAAGGAACAGGAATTATGTGTGATTGTGAGCCACCATGTGTGTGCTGTGAACTGAACCCCGGTCCTTTTCGAGAGCAGCAAGAGCCATCTAACCAGGTCTTATGTTTCTGATCAAGATAAAATAATGCTTTTAAATTTAAGATGAAATATATTAAGGAACTCAACTTTTCAGATCATTTGCATAAATTAGCATCATTACAGTGAGTTTTACTCACACAATGGTGACAATTGTCCTCACAGTATCCTGTAAGGGTCCTTACTCAACACTAAAAGGTTGACTCACTAACACACTTGGAATGGGTGTCAAGGTGAAATCCAGTCAGGAACAATAAGAATCTTGAAAGCATGTCAGAGTCATGTCTTAGGTCTCCTGGAGGTCCCAAGACATAGGACATGTCTGTGGAGAGTTACGTGTGTAACTGAAAGGTCTCTGGACATCTAGGCTGAATGAGTCCAAAGACCAGGAGGCATACTTGTACACTTGATTATCTTGAGAGGGGCCAAAGTTGGTGAAAGGGTAGAAAGCATCTGGTCCTCCTCGTTTCTGGAGAGGGAGCCATTGATGTGGCCCGAACAGATATTACATCCCACACAATTACAAGAGTAGCCCTGGTGATGAGTATGGGTGATCTGATTGTGATGTTAATCAGAAATATCATTGAGGGGCTTTCCAGGTGGTGTATTCAAAGCACTGACATAGCTGTTTGCTGCAGAAATATGTATGAACAAGAGTTCAGCTCTTTGTGTTTCAGACATGGGGAGTGATCTGATTCGGGCTTACTGCCTCAGTGAGTCAGCATGTGCAGTAGTGAGCATAGGTTTGCAGGATCGCCATTCCTTCCTGCCTTTCCCCCTCCTTCTCTCCTTCTACGCATCTCCTCTGGCGTCTCCAAGGATAAGCAGTGAGAGAGGTCCAGGAGACACACTAGGGGAAAAGGCCTCAGTCTCCACTATGGTGCTCCCCTGGCCTCGGGCCTGCACATAGTGGCATGGGGCACATGCCTGTAATTCTGTAAATCTAGCACCCAAGAAAGTAAGGCAGGGGGTTTGTGAATTCAAGATCGTGAGACCCTTTCTTTTTTGTTTGTTTGGTTTTTGTTCAGTTTGGTTTTTTATTTTTATTGATTTTTATTGAGCTCTACATTTTTTCTCTCTTCCCCTCCCTGCCTCTCCTTTTTCCCCCTTCAACCCTTCCTCAAGGTCCCCATGCTCTGATTTACTCAAAAGATCTTGTCATTTTCTACTTTCCATGTAAATTAGATCTATGTAAGTCTCTCTT